TCTGTTGAAAAAAACGTTGGCGAATATCATCTTCAAAAGTTAGTGTTCGTAGGGATTTTATTTGGTACAAGTTTGATGACGGATTAACATCAGTTAAAGAACCGTTGAAAGACTAGGGAGTAATGTACAGCTGTTTCATCCTACCTCAGCAGTACTGAATCATGGCTGCACCAAGGATGGAACTTATGATCTTCAAGTGACGAGGTCTTTGCGTTGATCACATTCAGCTACCGCAACGGAATTCAGTGGCTCATGCATTCTAATTTCTGTCAATTCACGAATGTTTAATAAAGCTACTAGCTGGTGTCGTCAGCGAATATTTGTCCCCAACCTTACCTTGTGATCTGAATGTCCAGTGTTCAACCTCCACTGAGGTGATGTTTACATATCACTAGAGCAAAACAGCTGTCCAATATACTATGTTGGTTTTCGATGGTTCTCTAATTGATACTGATCTTTGGTCAAACTTGAAAAACAAATCAAATCCCTACAGTCTAACTCTTGGAAATTAATCTAATGCTCTGTATTGACTGGTTGTGGGGCGAAGTTGACTGGAGTTTTGGTGCGTAGTCATGACCAGTGGTGTCCACTCTGTCAGGAGTGAGCACAAATACTCGCCGATGACATTGGTTGGTGGTCGCGCGCTAAAATCATGAATTGGTAGGAGTTAAAATTCATTTGCTGGCCACTGAGTTGAATCTCAGTGGCTGAATGGTCTACAAGATCGCTTTGTAACTAGAAGGTCCTGGGTTTGGAAGCCGGTGGGTGCGTGCAGCCGATGAGTCACAAACTATGAAGAAACAGCTGACCACTTCACTTATTTGAGGAGTTGCATCAGCCAATGCCAGAGGGTTGATCGCTGGCGAAATTTTAGCATGGATACAAAAGACTCGTGTGACATTTGCCGGCTTACACCATCTCCCGCTTAGTAGACGTGATATCCAGCTGTCGATCATAAGGCGTGTGTACTGCTCAGCAGTTAGCTCTGTCCTCCTTTATGACTATGAGTGAGGTATAGCCACTGAAAGTGGGAGACATGAAAAGCATGGCTAGTTATCTTTGATCATAGGTGCCTGCGTCCTACCTCCCGTGTTAATTGGAATAACAAGGTTAGTAATACTGAGGTGAGGCATCAGTCGAGTGCTAGGTAAGCGGGGAAATCAATCGACAAGCTTGTGAAGATACATCGATTGAGATGGCTATGATATGTTTTACGCAAACCTAGCCATCGATCGCCGTCCTCGACGGGCAATGTTAGCTGACGCAGCATCAGTTTGGAAAAGAGCGAGTGGTGGTCAAACCAAAACATGGCTTCATCGGTCAATGAAATCCACAGCAGTCAGTTTAAGCCAGTCACGTTAGGAGGTACAGACTTCCTGCTTGGGTTCCTCGGGATTGCAAAAACCAATGACGACTGAAGACAAGTGGTGTTCTGGCTCGAAATCGTTCTCAATGGCTGGTGTGGATGCATTCACTCTTTGTGATTTATAATACCCAATAAAATTCTTTTGTTCATGCATATTACTATTCCTTTTGCCTCACACTTCTGTTTATTATCTCTCTTTACTCTCTTCTGTTGCTTTGTGGGCCATATGGAGTGTGGTAACTCGAACTGGTACACATCTGTGCAAAGTTCTAGCTCTTTTGCAAGCTGATGGATCCTATGTCAGCTAACATTGCCCATTGAGGAAGGTGATGGCTAGATATACATGTGTAACACATATCCTAACCATCTCAGTCGATGTAACTTCACAGCCTCATCTATTGATTTCCCCTCCTTACCTAACACTGTACCTCTAACCTCAATATTACTCACCCTATTATACCACCACGTGACACGGGAGATAGAACTCAGGCACCTATGATCAAAGATAGCTAGCTAGCCAGTCTTTTCATGTCTTCCACTTTCAATGGCCATGTCTCACTCACAGCCGGCCATAAAGGAGGATGGAGCGAACTGCTGGGAATTACACACGCCCTTTGGTCGACAGTCGGATATCACGTTTACCAGGCGAAAGATGGTGTAAGTTGGTATATGCCAAACGTGTCCTCTGTATGCGTGCTGAGATTTCATCAGCGATGAACCCTTTGAGGCTGATACAACTTCTGAAATAAGCGGAGTGGTCAACATGCACTACCACCTCACTCCCTACCTTTAAGCCGATGTAGACGAGTCCCATAACATCATCTTACATTGGACAAAATTAACCACATGCCAAACATTCGAAGACTACAGCTGAAGGTGTTCAGAAGATTCTGCGTTTTGCAGGGTCTTCACTTATAAGGACCATATTATCTGCATATCCGAAGTCAGTGAGATTATACCCTGGTAACAAGTCAATGCCTGAGTCGCTGAATTCGGTTAGGGTTAAGTGGATCAGTACATCTATGATAAAATTAAACAGAAAAGGAGACAGTGGGCATCCCTGACGGACACTGCTGGTTGTTAGATAACAACTTTCCATAGGCTTTCATCTAGTTTCATAAGTTCGAGTAGATCGCCTTGATCAGTGCGATGTATTTTCTCAGCACACCTTTTTTGCACTAAATGGAGTGTGGCTACTTGAACTGGTGCTTTTCTGTGCAAAATTCTATATTGAAATTAAGTCAGTCAAACAAATGCCCCATTACCTTTCATAGGTGTCTAGGCATCTTGTAAACTATTTTTCCGCATAATCTGTATCGATCAGATATGCATGAAACAAGCTGATAGTAGTATCCTTTACTTCTTTTTTCATCACCCCCACTGATAGAGACAGTGATCGTACTTAATTACTAAGCTCTAAATTCACGTCATTATCAACTCTGTGTGTGTGTTGGCCTGGCCTGCTTAAATCACTGGACTGGCTACCTAAAATTTCTATCCAACAAAATGTAGTGTAGTTTTACTCCATTTCATTTATTGTTTTAATCATCTAATTACACTCTATGCATCACAATCTATCCTCACTCACATTTTCAAATACGTTTCAACCAACCTAGCGTACGGTGAGTCTTTGTGCAGGAAATGAAGGAAGAACATTGTGATGAAGTATTTGAGTAGGCTTCGGATAGAACAATATTGCTCCAGATAATATACTATTGATTATTATTATTACTTGAAGATTCTGCACAAAGAGTAATTGCTTTGAAGTGAAACACAACACGCTGAAAATTTTTCAGAATAAAGTTAATATTATTTTAGAAAAAAAAGAGGTATTGGACATTTAAACCGGTAATGCTTCGTCTGTACCCAGATATCTTGATCCCACTACCCTTGAGAGGTTTACTCCGGGGATGTTTTGTAGGACTTTGAAAGATTTTTCAAATAGATCTAAGTATCCTGATTTCAACAGATGTTCTGTTAACGAGCTATACACACACACACCTACGTTGTCCCGATTGCTAATCAGACTAGATAGCATTTTTGAGAGCTTTTTTATGGTGTGGTTGTGTTCTCTGAGCTGGATGGTTTGGTTGCGAAGTTTTCATTGCTCTACTGAGCAACATCTTCAGCGCATACTTCGATGTGAAGTGAGCTTTTAGAATTCTCTATGAGTTTATTAGTCATCTCTTCTAGTAACCTTGAACGTGATTGGTTGTCTTCGTGTGACATTTCACCCTCTAGTTTGCTTGTCTCGGTGCTGGCTGCTTCTTTGGTTTGAATGTCGTTAGTCATTCCTTCTGCTAACCTTGAACGTGATTGGTTGTTTTTGTGTGACTTCTCACTTTCTAGTTCACTTGTTTTGGTGTTGACTGTTTCCTTGACCTGAAGTTTGACTTTGTTTTTGTGTGAATTTCTTCGTATGGATTGGTATATTTTGTCAATCTCTATGTGTCTATTGATTGCTGATTCATTTGAATACCAGGCCTCTAGGGATTCTCTGGCATTTTTGCAGTTCCCTTTGTCTAAGATTTGAACATTGTCCCAGTCGAATTGGTGCCCGTGGTTGTCTGCATGTAGTGATATGAGGGAGTGTATGTCGTGTCTTTTGACAGCTAGTTTGTGTTCGTGAATGCGAAGACGAAGAGGGCGTCCACTTTGACCAATGTAATGTTTGTCGCAGTCGTTGCAATTTATCTTGTAGATGACGTTAGTTTTGTCTCCTTTCGTCGTTGAGTCCTTTGGTTTACATAGAACTGAGTGTAGTGACTTTGTTGGTTTATGAGCGACATCGATTCCAAAAGGTTTGAATAGTCTTGCAGTGATTTCGGAGATATCTTTTATAAATGGTAGGATGACTTTCTTTGTGTTTTCGCTGGTGGCCTTTGATTTGGTTGGTTGAGCTGGGGGTAGATGTCTTTTGATGAAGTTTCGTGGGTATCCATTTCTTTGGAAGACGTCCATAAGATGATTTTCTTCAATTTTCCTCAAGGCGGGAGTGCTGCAATGAGTCCTGGCTCTCTTGAACAATGTACGTATGCAGCTAATTTTGTGTGATGTTGGGTTGTTACTGTTGTAATTGAGTATTTGATCCGTGTGCGTTGGTTTTCTGTATACTTGGGTTTCTAATTTTCCTGTAGTTGTTCGTTTGATTAAGACGTCTAAGAATGGGATTTTGTTTTCATATTCTTCTTCTCTTGTGAATTTGATGTCGTTGAAGGTGTTGTTTATTATGTTGTGGGTATTGTCTAAGTTTTCTCTTTTGATTATCACGAATGTATCATCTATGTAGCGTATCCAAATTTTCGGTTTGATCTTTGGCAGAATTATGTTTTCCAGTCTTTGCATGACGGCTTCCGCAATCAATCCTGATATGGGTGATCCCTTGAATTTGTTCATACATTTGGCCGCTGAGAGCATTTTATAGGCGGACACATTATATACGATCAATGTACTCAGCTGGACAAGAGCAAGTGAACTGGTATATGTGCATGTTGATGTAGCACAATATACTTCACCTGCTAGTATCGAACATTTATTCAGGAGTAAAATTCCATTTAAACTAATAATTCTTCTGTTTGTATGAATGTGTCTTTTATTTCGGTATTCTTTTCTTCTTGTTTTCTCTTATACACAGAAAGGAACGCATACAGAATTGATGGCTAATCATGGTTTCTATTATAATCTTGTACAAAGACAAGAAGGTCGAGATTTATTAGAATAGAGCGTGATGATTATTATTCGTATTATTACTACTACTACTACTACTACTACTGTTATTTGATTTTTCCACTGTCTTTATATTCCTTTCTTAACGATGATAATAGTAATAATAAACTTATTTGCATAACTTTTACTGAAGTTGTTGATTTCTGTCTATACTTATTTGTGGAAAAAATATGAAGCTCTTATAAGAAGTGCAGTAATAATCAGCAGGTTGAACAGTGTGGCTGGTCTGTTATACGATACACAGAGAAGAACCAACTAAAGGAAGAGGAGTAAAGTGTCATGAAATGAATTCGCTTATCTTACTGTATATTTGTCATTATCGATTTAATTTATGAATCTGACAACGTGTGAAGTCAAAAATGATTTTAATTGGTGGAATCCACAATGCGCATTTCGTCCTATTCGGGACTCATCAACTGGGTGTACCTGCGTTCCCCAGTGAGCGATGATGTTCCCACCTAGACTCAAATCCAGTGCCCATAGTTTCGAACCCAAAGCGTTATCCGCTAGACCAATTGGGCCACGAGAGCCAGCTCCTGTGCAACGGGGCATATTTATTATTTAATTGAATTTTAGATTTTCCCGTCGACTGATTGGATCGAAGTACTCGGTCTCAATAATGAAATAAATAAAATGACCCGTCGCACAAGAGGTGGCTCTCGTGGCCCAAGTGGTCTAGTGGATAATGCTTTGGCGTTGGAAACTATAGGCACTGGGTTCGAGCCTCGGTGGGGACATCGTCAGTCACTGGAAAATGCAGGTACATCCAGTTGAAGAGTCCCGAATAGGACGAAATGCGAGTTGTCCTGGATACCAATGCTAGTCAGCATCCACCAATTAAATTATAATTACATTTCCAGACATCGTCGAAGCATCTGCACAAGAAGCGGACATGTCAACCTGAGACCGAGCACTTCGGTCCAATCAATCGACGGGAAAATCTAAAATTCAATTAAATAATCAAAAATGATTTATTCCTCTTCTTTTGGATTCGGTGTGGAACATAAAGCTTCTCTAGCACATCTTCATTTCGCTCTCTTCTCCACAGTCGCCTTTAGCTGGATCCACGATTGCGCAAAAACTTTCATTCACTCCTCTTACTATCTCCCTCTCCCCAATTTGCGTTCTGATGATTAACTTGTGTCTGATGTTGCATTCTAGTTCCACTCGGTGGTTTATGTGGCATGTGATATTACTCGACCGTTCCCTCAGTGTATGTTCAGTACGTCTGTATTTTCTACTGCATATTTGTTGGGTGGTTCGTGGCACTGCTAGAGTTCCTTGTCCTTTATCCTTTCTGGCTGTCTAATCTTGAGTATGCAGCGAAGACAAATTCTGATAAAAGTCTACAGCAGACTGTTGACACGTGCTGCAATTCTCTAAACCATATGGAAGGACTGACTTAATATAGTCGTTGAAAATCTAGATCTTGTTCCTTATACTGAGTGCATTAAAATCCCACATTGATTTCAGAGCAATAAAAGTGTGTCTTGCTTCTTCTATCCTGTCTTTGACATTCCCACCTATATCATCCTGAAGTTAAGACGTTGCTGTTTAGATAAGTAAAATCGGCAACTTCCCTTAAATTTCTCCCATGACTGGATTCAACATAGAGCTTGGCACCGAAGTGCAGCAGTTCGAGTTGCCACGTTCCAAATAGCACACAAAGGTAGACAAGAAGATGAGTGAAGAGAATCAATAGAGTTTTGACAAGTATAAGAGTGAAACAGAATGAGTAATGGTAGAAAAGAATATGAAAGATTACACAAGAGACTGAATACATCTGCGTAAGCCATTGACAACGATTTTGAGCCATGTCACCTAATGTCTCCAGCCATTGATTTTTAGAGTCCCGAGGGCCCCAACCCGTAAGTTTGCATCTCCCTACCTCACTCAGTTTAACTGTCAGGGATTTCATGGATTGATGAAGCCATGTTTTTGTTTGGCCACCGCGCACTCTTTTCCAACTTGCACCTATATCAGCTAGTAATGCCCGTCGGGGGAGGCGATGGCTAGGCATGCGCAGCACGTGACCTAGCCATCTCAATCTATGTAACTTTATAGCCTCTTCGATTGATTTTCCCTCATTGGTGGTAGTGATTTGTACATGTTGTTGGATAGGTATCTCCATCACTTCTGTGTGTTCACTTGAAGTCCCGTCTTCACTGCACCTTCTGCGCTAACCTGTTGGTTTTCGTCTGTAGATCTTAGAGTTTGTGTGAAATTAGACATAAATCATCTGTGAAGTCTAGATCTTCCAGTGTCTACTGGTCGGACTCAACGATGATAACAAGGAGGATTTCTGGATGTTCGACATTCAGAATAGGATTGTCGATTGGTTCTTAGATTTGAGTACAACTCATAAAACTTTCAGGAACAAGTCGACAACATAGTACTCAATCTCAAATGATCCATCTGATATGTGTTCTGCAAACGACTGAAGTTGAAAACATTTGATTTTAAGGTTCTTCAAACTGTCTTTTCTTGTCAAGAATTTCAAATTATGCAAGACTAAGATTGCTATTATTTTTATTTCTTTCCAAGTACGCAACTATGTGAGTAAAAGAATCATTGGAAACCAGAGAGCACTGGACAGAAATTTCACCGTAGTTTAGGATTCTTTAGCAGTACTCACCCATGACCCCACCTGGGCTCGAACCCAAAACCTCCACGTTACAAGACCAAGCTCGTTGACAATTATGCCACTTGTTGTGTGATACAGTGACCCGTGAATTCTAACTTTGTCAATTCGTGGTATGGTGACTATGACTGCCAACTACTAGTGTTATAGATGAGCATCCTCTTCCCCTATGAAATGGTGAACTCCACTGGCCACGAGTTCTCAGTACAGCTTCTGGACATTCATTCAATAGCCATCAGTGAGTGACCTAGGGGTTGATATTTAGACTGTTGGTTTTGTTGGAATTCGGATTTATTTCTACTGTAGATTTCGTTACAAACCAACATCATTTAGAGGATTATTGATTATCAGGAAACACTGGACAGCTGTTTCGACCTAGTTTCGGACTCTTCTCTTATCATCATAATTATTGGTAGGTTGGGGTTAATGTGTCTAGCCCAGGGTAAATTTAAATTTTATGCTGACTTGTAGTCATCAGTTTGATCAATCGTAATGAAAGATACCTTGGAATCTCTTAAATCCTCATTAACCTAAAATTTAAAACCGATCCGCTGTTGTCCTCAGGTAACTGACTACGGGATGAAGTTCAAATTAGAAATCCTAACTCTAGGATCCAACAATTTGGATGCAGGGAAAGATACTCGCGGATTTCATTGGGCAATGGTGGTGCTATGTTGCCAATAAAAAAAAGCTAGAATTCGTGGGTCTTTGAGGCCAAATCCGTATTTGAGTAGTAGCGTGTAGGTCATAATGTGGTGGTGTAATACAGACAATATGTTCCAACGGAATATTATTCTCACATATTCCCACAGTTCAGTGCTGCGTTAGCAACAGAATACTATGCATATATTTGAACGTTCTATTTCATATCGTTTAGTGTTAACCAAAATCACACACTCAGTGATTGGTTAAAGAATATAAACTGTATGGATATAAGTAGCTGTTTGATCATTTGAAAATATACCTTGTCTTTCGTGTCTTCCCTTCTGCTGTTACAATAGGCGCATATTGCGGAAGAGTTCCATTTTAGGGTAAAATACGAATATCGTCGGACTTGATGACACCACTACTGGAGAAGGTGTGGAAAGAAGGCAAAGTACCTGCGGATTGGAAGAAAGGCTACTCATTCAAACTGCCAAAGAAAGGAGACTTAAGTCAATGCAAGAACTGGTGCGGCGTTATGCTCCTGTCCATCCCAAGCAAAATACTAAGCCGCATCATCATGGAGAGAATCAAACATGCCGCGTGGATGAAAAACTTCGACCAGAACAAGCTGGATTCAGGAGGAACAAGTCATGCATCGATCAAATCGCAACACCATGGATCATCATTGAACAGAGCTTGGAATGGCAGTCACCTCTCTACCTCAACTTCATCGACTTTGAAAAGGCCTTTGACAGCGTCGATCGAGAGGTGATTTGGAAACTACTTCGCTACTACGGAGTGCCACCGACAATTATACATCTCATCCAACAGTTGTACGACAATGCTGCATGCCAAGTAATCCACAATGGGAAACTTACGGAATCCTTCGAAGTGAGGACAGGAGTAAGACAAGCTGGCTGCCTACTATCTCCAATGATTTTCCTGATTGCAGTAGACTGGATAATGCGACAAACAGCGGACAATGAGGAAACAGGCATAAAATGGACTCACAAAAAAAACTTGGAGGATCTGGACTTCGCCGATTATATATGTCTGAATTCCCAGAAACTTGAAGATATGCAAGTGAAAAGCAACAAGTTGGCAGAAGTAGCATCCAAGATAGGACTTCAGGTGAACATAGAGAAAACAGAGGTAATGAAGATTCCTGGACAAGAACAACAGACAACGATCAGTATGAATGGGAGGAATCTGAAAGAAACAACCTCCTCCACCTACCTGGGAAGCATCGTTTCAACTACAGGCGGAACTAACGAGGATATCAAAGTGAGAATCAGAAAAGCAAGACAAGTTTTCACTACTCTCAAGTCTGTGTTGAGGTCAACAGCACTCAGCATGGAAAATAAGATCCGGATTTTCAACTGTGATGTGAAGTCAGTGCTACTATATGGATCAGAGACTTGCACTGCGCGTCATAAAGAGCACCTCAAACAACACTACAGACCTTCATTAACAACTGACAGAAAGGATCAGCAACAGAGATCGCTGGCAATGAGCAAACCAACCAGGAACCAATTGTGAAACAAATATGCAGGAAGAAATGGAGATGGATTGGCTGGCCATACTCTGAGGAAACCATCAAGTGACATCACTAGACAAGCCATCACTCGAGTGGAACCCGAAAGGGAAGCGGCGAGTTGGTCGTCATTGCGAGGGTGACTTGGAGGAGGTCATGTGAAGAGGAGATGAAA